TCCCCTAACCCTCGCACCAGGGTGGCTCACCCTGATTTTCCTTAGAAAGAGTCTTTTGATGACACCGTGGCGTGATGTCGAGACCTTTTAGGAGAGAGGGAGGGCGTCTGCGACAGGAGGCCTCTCTCATCAGGCTCAGACTGCATTTGTGCCAGCTCAACACTTGGGGCTGCCCAGAAAGGTGCCTGGCAGGAGTGGGCATCTCACAGAGCCCACGGGGCCCAGGTGGGTCTTCCTGCAGGTGCCAGGCTGCCCTGTGGGGTCCTGCGAGGACCACCATCACAGGAAGGGGCAGGCATTTGCTGACAGGTTCTGGGCACGGCGGCCCTGGGCGGGACTGGCCAGGGGATGTTTCCTTTCTGTGTTAAGGATCACGGGGTTTGGAAAAACTGGCTCAAGAGACGGCGTCAGCTTCACTGGTTCATTCGATGGAAGTTGGTTGAGGGCCTACTGGATGGAGGGCAGGAGTTGAGCTGGGAAAACAGCAGCGAGCTGGCCAGGCGGGTTGTATCCTCATGGGAGGCTGCTGGAGACCAGCCAATGTCCGGGAACCACAGGAGTACAGAATGGGTGAGCAGCGCTGCCCAGGATGGGGGAGAGGCAGGCCCTGGGGGAGAGCCTGGCCCTGGAGGAGAGGCAGGTCCTGGGGGAGAGGCAGGTCCTGGAGGAGAGGCAGGTTCTGGGGGAGAGGCAGGTCCCGGGGGAGAGGCAGGTCCTGGCGGTGGGGAGAGGCTGGGCCTGGGGGAGAGGCAGATTGGAGGGTTGACAGGCAGGTCCCGGGGGAGAGGCAGGTGCGGGGGGGGGAGAGGCTGGCCCTGAGGGAGAGCCTGGCCCTGGAGGAGAGGCAGGTCCTGGGGAGAGGCTGGCCCTGGAGGAGAGGCAGGTTGGGGGGGTGAGAGGCAGGCCCAGGGGAGAGGCTGGCCCTGGAGGAGAGGGAGGTCCCAGGACTAAGGATGTGTGCAGGGAAAGAGCCCTGTGGTCCTGGGGAGCAGGGGTCTGTGGGTGAAGAGTGCACCTCCTTTTGAGGTCCCAGGCTGAGGGGAGGGAAGGTGTCCGCTTCGCAGCTGTGTTCTCCCTGTTTGGGGAAGAGGCTTCACCATTCCCTATGCCTTTCTGTGTTGCTCGAATTTTATCTTAAGCTGGTGTCACTTTTACAACCTGTTACTTTTTTTTTCTTTTCATTTTAAAAATAAAAGGTGTTGGCGGGGCGTGGTGGTCACACCTGTAATTCCAGCACTTTGGGAGGCCAAGGCGGGTAGGTCATGAGGTCGGAAGTTCAAGACCTGGCCAAGATGGCAAAACCCATCTCTACTAAAAATACAAAAATTAGCCGGGTGGTGGCGGGCACCTGTAGTCCCAGCTGCTCAGGAGGCTGAAGCAGAGAAGCGCTTGAGGCAGAGGTTGCAGTGAACTGAGATCACTCCATTGCTCTCCAGCCTGGGCGACAGAGTGAGACTTCATCTCAAAAAACAAAATAGGTGTTGATAATTATGGAAGCACATGAGGACTTCATGGAAAATTTGGGAGCTACAGAAACTGCCGAGAGATGGAAAAGCCTGGCCTTTAGCCACCCGAAGGCCCTTCTCGGAGCTGCCCCGCCCATTCCAAGGGTCACCTGCACACCCCACACGCCCCGGAGACCCCAGCGAGTGTCCTTGGGAGCTGCCAGGACTGTGCTTTCTCTGTGTCCTGGGCTCATTTGGAGGTGGGGACAGGACTGTGACTCTGCCCCTCCTCTGGGGTCCTCAGAGGCTGCCCAGCCCCTGCACTCTTGAGGGGGGTTTCCCCAGTCACTCACTCATTCCCTGGTGGGGCCCAGCCCTCAGCCGGCATCCGGAAGGGAGTGGTCGGCAGATTCCAGAGCACACACCCTGTGTCTGTGGCCAGCCCGGTGTCACAGTGACACCACTGCCAGCTGGCGAGCCTATCCGTGCCTCATGAAGTGCCCTCTGCCTTCGGGGGGTGGTCTCAGGAGTGCAGGCTAGGGGCAGAGGACCTGGGAACTCCCCAGTGATCTGCCCATTTGCCCAGAGGCGGGTCCCAGGGACTGGCGGACCAGGCCTTCCCTTTGCAGATCTCATCAGTGGAGGGGAGGCCAGAGCCGGTCCTGGGGGAGGCTTTTGGGACTTTTCGGGCAGCCCCTTTGCCTGCAGCCCAGGGCTGGAGCCTTTAGGGACCTGCATCTGCCCCCACCCCTCTTCACTGGGCTTAGGGCTGAACAAAGTCCAACACTGAGGAGGACTGTCCACTGAGGCCGCCGTCTCCCTCCCAACCCCATGGAGAATACAGCCCCGCCCCCCATCTTCCCTCTCTGGGACGGGGGCTCTGGCCACGACCCTGGGACTGGCTTCTGGGGTCTCCCCTGCCTGGCAGCAGGGATCTCCTGGGGAGGCCAGTGCTGAGGGCTGTCCCAGGAGGGGTGTCTCTGGTTAGAAAGGGTCCTCCAGGGGCGTTGGGTGGGGCAGGCCCAAGAATATGTGTCCCATGGCAGAGAAGGACACAACCGAGGGTCAGTCCTGCCTGCTGTGGGCAGTGGCATCAAGGACCGGGCCTTGCTGCCTCCTCGGATCAGAACACCAGCCAGGAAGTCCTGTGGGCACCAGTGACTCCTTCCAAGCACGGCCCCACCGGCGCGAAACCCTGCTCTTCCCCGCCCGTCAGGAAGCGCCTGGGCCATGTTGCCAGGCTGGACTCTGGACAAAGCCACAGCTTTGGACATGGGGCCTAGAATGGGGGAGCTGGGCCAACAGGTGCCTGGCTCCCGGGCTGCTGCAGGTGCAGATTCTGGCTCATTGCTGCCCTGCCAGGCCGCTCCGTCACCTCTACTCTCTGCCCCCTTCATGTCCAGCTGATGGGCATGGGGCTTCCTGCCTGTGCTAGGGATACAGAAGGAGTTGTCCCACGGAGATGGGGGAGAGGAGTAGATTGCTGAAATGTGTATCAGGTATGCTAGGGACTCCAAGAAGTGTGGGTGCCAGTCCAGCAGATCTCTGCAGGCAGGTGCTCCTGGGAGAGGAGTGGCTGAGCAAAGGCCTGGAGGCTGGGGCAGCAGGGAGGCCAGGAGGCCAGGACAGAGGAGCAGGCTTTCCCTCCAGGAGTGATGGGAATGACCCAGAAAGATGAAGTGGGTGTCACCAAGGTGGGGAAGAGGTTAGCTGAGAGGCTGGTTAGGAGGACGCCTGGGGCCAGTGAGCCTTGGTCAGGAGCTCAGCAAGGCCATGTGAGCTGGTGATGTGAAGTGGTCCAAAGGTTGAGGCCAGGTCTCCACACTTTTAAAAGCTGCAGAATAGGAGGGGGAGGGATGAGAGATTTGGGGAGCTGGAACCGGGGGTGGGGGATGTGTGAGCCTTTTCAGTAGGGGTCTGATAAGAAAATGTAATCCCAGCACTTTGGGAGGCCGAGGAGAGTGAATTACCTGAGGTCAGGAGTTTGAGACCAGCCTGACCAACATGGTGAAACCCCATCTCTACTAAAAATACAAAAATCAATTGGGCATGGTGGCGGGCACCTATAATCTCAGCTACTCAGGAGGCTGAGGCAGGAGAATGGCCTGAACCCCGTAGGCAGAGGTTGCAGTGAGCTGAGATTGTGCCATTGCACTCCAGCCTGGACGACAAGAGTGAAACTGTCTCAAAAAAAAAAAAAGAAGAAAGAAAGAAAAAAGGAAAACGTCTGAGAAACGACCCCTGTATTTAAAACGTGGGAGTGGCTGGTGGCAGGAGAGGTAGCCAGGGAGGGGCCGGCTTGGCAGAAGCTTTGGTGAAGAGGAGCAGAGATGGGTCGGAGGACGGAGCGAGGGTGCAAAAGGTGTTGAAGAAGGAAGGACAGCTTCTTCGGAGGAGAGGGCGGACATGGGTTCTGTACCCACAGGTCTCCCCAGGGCCTGGCATCAAGGTGGCGATTTAGGATGAAAGCAGTGGCTGTGTCCGGTGGAGGGGAATGAGGGCGTGGCCTGAATTGTCTCTGGAGGAAGGGCATGAGGGCGTGGCCTGAGCTGTGCCTGGGGGAGGGGCGTGAGGGCGTGTTCTGAGCTGTATCTGGACGAGGGGCGTGTCCACCTGGTGCTTGGGTGAGGTCCTCCAGGCAGCAGATCTAGGCTTCAGTGGATGGAGCCAGGACGGGATGGACTGATCAGGGAAAATTCGACCACATTTCAGGGGAGGAGCCCAGGAGGCAAGGAGCTGAGCGGCGGTGGAGGGGCCTGCGGGGCGACTGCCCAGATCAAGCCCCCCTAGTAAGGCCCGAGAGGCTGTGGCTTCAGAAATGAAGTTCCTGGCGACTCCGGCCAATGCTGTGTCCTTGACCTGGGAGGAGGAGCGAGCGGGAGCACTCGCGAGTGTGGACGGCCCCTCCCTCCAGGGGACCTTGGATTCGCTGGGGTCGGAGCGGAACTGGGGCCCCGAGAACCCGAGTCCGAAGCCTCCCGGGCGTGGCCGTGGCCGTGGCCGTGGCCGTGTTCTCCGCCCCTCGCAGCTTCAGTACCGCCCTTGTGAGATGTCCGGGACCCCTGGACGGCCGGCCCCTCAGGCTGGCAGCGCGGGCCGCAGGAGTTTCGATTCGGAGGGTCTGGGCGGGGCCGAGAACTGGCGTTTCCAGCGAGGTTCCAGGGACGCCACGACCGGGCGCACTTCGCCGAGGGTCTCACGGGGAGAGCGCCGCTCCGTCCCCCAGGCGGGGGCCCCGCGGGTTGCCGGGCAGAGCCGGGCCGGGCGCGGTCCCATTGGCGCAGGTGCGCGCGCCCCGCCCGACAGGTAGCCTCCCGCGCCTCGCCATTGGGCCGCGGCTGGGGTCCCCGGAGGATTGGCCCAGGTGGCGGCCCCGCCTCGCCCTCATTGGCCGCAGGTGCCACCGCCCGCCCCGGGACCGCCCGCCCTGTGGATTGGACGCCGGCTCCACGTCGGTCCGCCATGTTCGGACACCGCCCCCGCCCTCGCCGGACGGTCCGGCCCCGCGCGTCCCCTCCCGCCCCGCGCGTCCCCTCCCGCCCCGCGCGCTTCGCTCCTTCCCCGCGCGTCCCACGCGCCCTGCGCGCAACCCCAGCCCCGCGCGCCGCCGGAGTTCCGCGTGGTTGGCCCGCCCGGCGCCGTCGGTCCCCCTGCGCACTGTCTTCCGCGTTCCGCCGCGGCCCCTCCGGGCGCCCCCGCCCCGCCGCCCGGGCCCCGCGCCATGGCCGGAGCTCCCGGGGCGCCGCGCTGACGGCGGCCGGCGGAGCGCGCCATGCCAAGCAGGACCGGCCCCAAGATGGACGGGAGCAGCGGCCGCGTCCGCCTCAAGGCGCACTACGGAGGGTGAGGCGGGAGCAGCGGCGGGAGGTGTGGGGACTGCGCCGTCGGGGCTTCTGCGCGGAGGGAGGGGAAGGCGGGAGGCGGCGGCGAGATCGCGGCGGGCCCGGGGCTGTCTCGAGAGGTCCCACCCCTCCCCGAGCGTCACCCGCGGACACCCGTGGGCAGCGCGGGGCCCCTTCCCGGAGCGGGTTCCCGGCTCGCATCCACGCCGCGCGCTCCTCCCCTGTCTCCGTCGGGGACGTTTTCGCCGGAAAATTGGGCGGCGGCGTTCAGGCCAGAAACCTGTGGGAACCAAACGTTTCCATCAAGTTGTGGAAAGTCCTGGCGGGTTCCTTAAAATGGGCGTTTTCTCCGCTTTCTCCGGTTGTTCCCGGCGGTGGGTCTCGCCTGAGGCCGAGTCCGAGGCCCCGGGGCGCGGGCGCGGCGGCTCCAGTGCAGCCCCCGGCAGGGCTCGGGGGTCGGGCGGGGACCGGAGAGTTTGGGGGTTATGGCCTGGCCGAGCTGTCCCCGGGGCCGCTGCCTGGCGGTGGGGCTGGGCGGGGTCGGAACCGGGGGCTCCTGGACGCCGGGCCTCAGCCTCTGGGCCGCGCTGCGGGGGCGGAGGGGGCGCTCCGGGTGGCCGGGCTCAGGCTCCGCGGAGGGGCCGCTGCCTCCGAAGTGCGGGCGGTGGGGAAGGCGGGACCCGCGAGTGTTCCTCCTCCTCCGGCGCGCGCGTATCCAGGAGCCCCGAATTCGGACCTAGGCTCCCGCCGGGTGGCCGCTGCTGCTTGTGGGGGAGGGGAGCGGAGTGCGGGCCTCGGGTTTCAGGTTTCACCGGGGGATCCTGGGGATCCCGAAGGCCTTCTCCAGCCCGGCGAGCACTCAGCTCCCGCGGTGGCGGCCTGACCCCCAGAGGCAGGGACTGGTGGTGGGGGGAGGGGGAAGACAGGTGACACCTTTCCCGGGCCACGCCCACTCAGGACTGTGTCCGGAAGGTCTCTGTGCCGCCCTGTGAATCTGAGGGCTTCAGCTCCTTGCGAATCTTGTCTTGGGGTCTCAGGTCAGGCCTCGGGGGCTGCTTGGCCCCTGATTTGTTGAGGAGGCTCAGTTGTCTTTTCTTTGGGAAGGTTGGGGCCTCTGCAGCGCCCCCCTGGCAAGCACTGGAACCCTCGGGGTGCAGTGGGGGTGAGTTTGGTGCCAGAGCTGGAAGAAAGGGATTTCTGGGGGACGGGCCCCGAGGGTTCCACGGCAGCCATGTGTTCTGGCCTGGAGGTCAGCGGGTTCAACGTGTCATCGTTGAGGTCCTGGCTGTCGGATTTGTCCAGGGACCTGGGCTTCTGTCTCCTTCCCAGCCTGGAGCCACCACACTGGGCCACAGGGGATGGTGCGGGGTTCAGGGGCATTGGGAGAGGGAGGTCCACATCCACAGGGCTGCAGGGGCCTGGACCCTTATGTATTGCGGGGCTGGATTCCCAGGACCAAGGCTCCGGGCAGTGCCCCCAGAGTTCTGGGCGGGCCCGTCCTCCCTCTCCCCTGCTTCGGCCCCGGGAGCACTTTGGTGTAGCGGGTGTAATTCCACCCGGTGACTCTGGTTTCCCTGGCTGGAGAGACCGAGCTCCCACCTCTTCCTCTTCCCTCCCTTCCCGGACTGTCTCCCCTCTCTCCGCACCCTCTCCTCTTCCTCCCTCTTTCCCTGTTGTTTTCCCTGCTCTTCCCCCTCTCCCCTCTCTCCCTTCCCTGCTGCACCCCTTCCTTCACCTTCCTCCTTTCAGCCCTTCCCCCACTCCCAGGGTGCCTCTCCCCTCTGGCTCTCCATCCTCTTACCGTGCCTACTCCCATCTCACTCCCACATTCTTCTCGTTTCTGCTGAGAGTGTGAAGTGCCCCGCTCCTCATGCCCTCTGGGCACCTAGTGCTTCCCAGGGGACTGGCTGTGGGGTGGGAGACCAGGCCTTAGGGCAGTGACGCAGTTCCAGGAAGCACCTGCCAGTATCAGCACTGGGTTATGGAAAGCCCTAGAAACTCCATCCCTGGGGTGAGACTCTGCTGTCCTTGACACATGGAAGAGTAGTCTCTAGAAAAAGCGGGAGCTCTTCAGTCACCCCCATGGGACATGGTCACCCTGTCATCTTTGTCCATCCTTGCAGGACTCTCTGGGTGCGCTTGATATCCAATCCTCACCACCACCCTTCCCCCCCGCCCCCTATGGCGGTTATTCAAGGGCCTGAGGGGTCCCCAAGCACCTGTGTTTTCAGGGAGTCTCAGGTGCCCGCCCTATTAGGGTGATAAACACTGCTGCTGGCTCTTTCCTCTTCAACTCAGACATTTTTTTTTTTTGAGAGGGAGTCTCACTCTGTTGCCCAGGCTGGAGTGCAGTGGTGTGGTCTTGGCTCACCGAAACCTCCACCTCCCGGGTTCAAGCGATTCTCCTGCCTCAGCCTCCCGAGTAGCTGGGATTACAGGCATCCGCCATCATGTCCAGCTAATTTTTTGTAATTTTAGTAAAGACAGGGTTTCGCCATGTTGGCCAGGATGATCTCGAATTCCTGACCTTGTGATCTGCTGGCCTCAGCCTCCCCGAGCGCTGGGATTACAGGTGTGAGCCACTGCACCTGGCCCAGCTCTGCCTTTTACCAAAACTTTTGTGTTCAGGGAGCTTCTCTGTGCAAAGCCCAGGGCTTGGTGCTGGGGCCAGGGTAGGGTAGTTCAGGGCTTGGTGCTGGGGCCAGGGTGGGGTAGTTCAGGGCTTGGTGCTGGGGCCCACAGAGGCACAGGAGTCTTATCTCTGGTGGTCCAGCTGGGTGCTGGGTCCTGGATGCCCCTGCCAAGGGGCACAGAGCAGCTGCTTGATTCAGGATTGGGATGGGGTTGGAGGTGGTGGCCGGACACTTCCCCAGGTGGCCCTGGGATTTTACTGGAGCTGCCCACCTGGCCTCCAGATTGGCAGGAAACAGTGGCTTCAACCTGGGGGCAAGACTGTAGGGGGAGGTGCATGGGGTAGGAAGAGGTCAAAGGTGAAGGGCTAGCCCACTCCCCCTCTGGAGTTTCTGGTGGCTGGACTGGTGGACACTCGGTCAGGCGGAAAGCGTCAACACCAGCTTGGGGCGACCCCAGGGTGACAGGTGTGTGATCCCCATTCCTCACTTTTCTGATCTGCTGTTGTGCCAAGGGAGGTGGTAAAGACGGAGCCAGGTTGGTCCCTATTAGGGGCAGGGGCTGGGAAGAGGTGGGTAACTGGGGCGTCCTCCCCCAGCTCCAGGTGGCCCAGGATGACTGTGAGGCCTGTGGGCCAGAGGCCTGGGCTGCTGTCCTGGCTGTGGACGGATCCTCTGTTCTGTTTGCACTGGAGCTCTTGTCTGGGACGAGGACTTTATTTCTGGAAACTTGTCTGACGAATTCAGATAGCCCTGATGGGGAGCCAAGCGTCAGTGGAGAGCAGAGCCTGTGTCTCTGTCATCTGGGATGTCTCACAGCCCTCCAGGCTTCTTGTTAGAAGTCCGGAGCTCTTGCCCCATGCTCTTGTGGGTGTCAGAAAGTTGTAGATTATCCTGCAATTTCAGTGTGTTCCGAGAGGGTGTGATTCCTGCTCAGAGGTTCAGGAAACACCAGCAAGGTCCACGGTGGGCTCTTCCCTCCACAAGGGGGGTACTCCATGCAGGGGGCGATGGGGAGATCTTGGTTCCCTCAGCAGGGAAGGCCAGTCCTCGAGGGCACCTGGGAGTCCCTGAGCTTCTCCAGCCCCTGGGGGTTGGGTCCTGTTTCTCGCTGAATAAAAGATAAAAGACATGACACACTGGGACTCGGTTTTCAAAAGGCAATGTGCCTGGGTTTCTGTGATAGCTGCATGAGGGACTCAGTCCCCTGCCAGGGTCTAAAGAGGAGCCTTTGACTATAATCCCTGGCCAAGTCACGCCTGAAGGTCTGGCTTCCACTCCTGGCACCGTCAGGGTCTGGGGGGAGGTCTGACTGGGTTCCTTGACCTTCATGAAGCTGGCGGGCCTGAAGTGACCTGGCTGTGCCCACCCCCAGGGTCATCCACATTTGGGTGAACTTGAACGGGTGCCCGAGCAGGTGTGGTTGCCTGGCTTCCCACAAGAGGGCGCTTTCTCTTCTGACGTTTTTGGCCTGATTCTTTCCAGCCAGGTGGTAGTGCTTTCTTCTCTGTGCAAGGGAGCTCTTGGTGGTAGTTTATTTAAACTATGTAACATTGTGGTTAATGGTTCTCTTTTGTGTGTGTGGGCGGGTGGGGCTGTCATATTGTCTTTGGGGAAAGTTTCGTTGATCTAATCAATGATTTGGTTAATCAGTAATCATTATTCAGTTGATTCCAGTATGCCCCCCCTGTAACAGGAGCCCATGTCCCCCCGCCCCAGGGACATCTTCATCACCAGTGTGGATGCCGCCACCACCTTCGAGGAGCTCTGTGAGGAAGTGAGAGACATGTGCCGCCTGCACCAGGAGCACCCACTCACCCTCAAGTGGGTGGACAGCGAAGGTAGCCCTTGTCCCGCGTCGGCCAGCGTCCTCAGCCTCAGGGACTTACTTCGCCGGGAGCCTCTGTGTGCAGAGTCTGCTCAGCCTCTTCTGTGGGGAGACTTAAAACCCTGAAATTAAGCTTGTTGAAGCCGAAGTTTCCCCAGCGGGGATGGTGGGAAAGAGGGTGGCCGAAAATGCTTAGAGCAGACCTGTGCCCAGATGCCGCTTGGTCACCAGGAGGGGCTGCAGGGGTCTCCCTAGCCCACCCCCTCCTCTGACTGCCCTTCTCATGTCCTGGGCTTTTCCGTAGGTGCCTGTGTGAGGACGGGCTCTTCATTTTCTCTATTATTCTTCTCCCTAACATATTCTGTCACACACAGGCTTTTCATTTTCTGGGGACCAAGGGGAGGGCACATGCATCCAGGGCCTGCAGGCTCCATCTCCTCTCTTAGTCAGACACACATCCTAAGAAGCGAGGGGATTGGGAGACGTGCAGAGAGACCCCTTTCTCCAGGGACCGGCAGGCAGCTGTTGGCCGAGGACACGGCAGTGCAGGCGGAGCCTGATGGCGCTCCTGTTAGGTGGGGTGCAGCCCTGCAGGGGGTGGGTTCTGTACCCCGCCGTGTCCCTGTCCAGCCGTAGAGGGCGAGGAGCTTTCCCTCTGCCCAGGAGAATGTCCTCAGATCTGCTCACTGCTGAGCCCTCCAGGCAGCGTCCAGAGCTGTGGGTGGACTGACTTCCCTTCCCGGGTATGGACTCTGACACGGCATGGGGGCTGGGTGACTCTGAGTGTGGACAACTGTCCTTGGACCTCCCAACTCTGCCAGAGGTGGCTGGTCTGAGCAGTGAGACTTTGCCCCCAGACTCTTATCCAGTGTGCTCAGGGGGCCTGTCACGGCCCCCTTTGCCTCAGGCCTTCAGTGACCTCAGCACTGTCTGCTGCCCTGCCCAGGTGACCCTTGCACGGTGTCCTCCCAGATGGAGCTGGAGGAGGCTTTCCGCCTGGCCCGTCAGCACAGGGACGAAGGCCTCATCATCCACGGTCAGTGGCAGGGTCTGTGGTGGGCGGCTCTGGGGGGCTGTTCCTGGCTGTAGGTGTCTGCCAGACCACCTGGGGGGTTGGAAGCCATATAGGATCATGGTTTAAAATCCCATGATGCCAGAGGCTTTAGGGATGTCTAATGTAATGCCATGCAGTTTTTTTGCTCTTTGACATTTTATGAGCCCAAATGAAAACTGCTCTTGTGAAGAGCCCGTAAGCTGCTCAGAGGCTCCAGTGGCCAGCGTGGGGCCTGCAGATGGTGGGGACGGCCCCACCAGCCACCTCGCCTGCCCCGTGCTCTCTGGGCCTGTCTGCAGGTTCACAGCTGTCCTCAGCTTTAAGTTCGAAGCCCCATGATGAGCTGATACATGGGAGATGTGACTTGTCATTTCTACTGCCTTTGGGGGCACTTTAGCTGCTCCCAGTCCTGCCGGGGGTCTATGGGGCGTCTGTGGGGCCTGCTAGTGTGGTTCCAGCAGCTGTGGCCAGCCAGCCACATCTGTGTCCACTTCTGGCTGGCCACTGACCACTGAGCTGAAGATGGGACGAGAGCTGGGGCCGCCCGCAGTTCCTGCAGGTCCATCATTCTCCTGGACACCAGGCTACTTAGTTACAATACTTAATCTTTGTAGCCCTTTACATCTATGTGGATTTAGATTTAAAGCTTAGTGCAGTGCCTCATGCCTGTAATCCCAGTACTTTGGGAGGCCGAGGTTGGGGAAATAGCTTCAGCCTAGGAGTTCGAGACCAACCTGGGCAACCACTGAGACCCCGTCTCTCCAGAATTTTTTGTTCTGGTTTGGTTTTTCCGAGTCTCTGTCCCCCAGGCTGGAGTGCAGTGGTGTGATCTCTGCTCACTGCAACCTTCGCCTCCTGATACAATTGATTCTCCTGCCTCAGTCTTCCAAGTAGTTGGGACTACAGGTGTGTGCTGCCATGCCTGGCTAATTTTTGTCTTTTTAGCAGAGACAGGGTTTCATCACGTTGGCCAGGTGGTGTTGAACTCCTGGCCTCAAGGCATCCTTTCATCTCGGCCTCCCAAAGTGCTCAGATTACAGGTGTGAGTCATTGTGCCCTGTCAAGTTTTAATGCTTCCTTAGCATCTATTTTAATAATTTACCGTGGAAGTCCAGGATGTGTGTTAAAATAATTTTGAATTCAGTCTTGAATATAAGGAAATGGAGTCCAATGTGCTTTTAAAAGTCAGCTTTGAAATTAATTGCAGTTCTTCCGCATTTTTATATCATTTAAGAACACGAATCTCTAGCTTCCTCTGACAGCTTTGCTGTCCAGGTCCCTCTGATTGCCTTTTACCCTAAATTTTTCCGTGGGTTTTAAAGTTCTACGTAATGGAGCCAGGCCTGCATGGACACACTGGGTTTCACGTTCCCCAGGAGCAGTCTCTTGGCAATGCCACGTGGGTCTCACGTGAAGTCGCACGCTCAGTGCTCAGCCTGACGGGCGGAACTTTCTTGGGACTGTGCTGAATGGCGGCTGCGGGGCGCTGACACTCTGTCTCTTCCTCTCTCGTCCAGTGTTCCCGAGCACCCCCGAGCAGCCAGGCATGCCGTGTCCGGGAGAAGACAGTGAGTACTGGGATTGCCTGTGCCAGTCTTGTCGTGCCAAGGAGGTGACAGTGGTTCTATCTTCGGAGGTTTGCCCTTGTGGAGTGTTGAGGCGTGAGCAGCTGTAGTGACTGCGGGTGGGGTTTTCGCTGCTGCCCGTGCGTGTTCTGGCTGATGGCACTGCGTGATGGGGGAGTTGCTTGGCTAGTTGGTGGCATGAGAAGTCCAGGGTGCCCCGCTGTTTCCCCAGGAGGGAGAGGCCAGGTGGGAGGCTGGACACTGCTCCCATGTGGCTGCCTCAGCTCATGGCCACTCTGGGCCAACTGACTGCCCCTCCTGGCCCTGCTGGCCCCTGATTTGGGGTTCGGTCTCCTTTCGTTCTACGCTGGCTCCATTGGGAGGAGAGGAAGGAAAGTGAGTCCGGGGGGCTGTGGCTTCAGAGGCAACTTCCTACCACATCCCGGAGACCGCTGGGCCCTGAGCAGGTGGCCACACTGCCCTCGGGCTGTGCATCCCATGGCTATGTTCGGTGTGTTCCCCCTTGCCCTCTGGACCCTGCACTGCCTCCAGCATCTGTGCCACGCCTTGTTCGTTGTGTGGGCAGGAGCTCCTGGACTGAGACTGCTGCCTGTCCAGCGCAGGGCACGTGGCTCAGTGTCCTTCGGGCAGGGTGTCCCCAGCCCCTGCTGCCGGGGCACACTCTGGGCTGGACTCAGGCTGGATGCTGGGTGTCTGCAGTGCTATGTTGGGCAGGAACCGGGTGTGGGAGCAGATTCGGACTAAGAGGGCAAGTAGACAGTCAGGGTGAGAGTCTCGGCTTCCAGAGAGAAGTTGGGGCTGAACAGAGCTTTGGCAGCGCTTAGCCTGAAGAGGAGGCCCCAGGGGCCACAGGATTTCCACCATCTCCCCGGGGCAAGGTGGCATTGCTTCCCGATTCCAGGTCATCAGTGAACAGGGGTCTCTGAACCGTTGCCGACAACGCCGAGAAGACATCCACAGGGGGCCCTGGCAGGAGTGGAGAGTGTGGTCCGACAGCTGGACCTGCCTAGGGCCTGGCAGGGAGGTGTGGTGTGGCCGTGGCAGGTGGACACGTGGGATGGATTTGGGAGCGTGGGGCGTGTGTGAGGAGGTGGGGGCGATGCTAGTTCCTTTGTTTAGCCCTGGTTGTGCCTTTTGGAGACGGCTACCGCCTGGGCCGGAGAGACAGGGACCCCATGTGTCCCAGTGGGAGGCAGGTGGAGGGGAGATGATGCGTGCGAGGTCCATGGCATGGGGTGGGAACGGCCGGTAGACGGTGCAGGTTGGAATTCGGGGGCCCTGTTGAGAAGGCGGTGGAGGAATGGGGAGTCCCAGGGGTAAGGGCATCCTGGGTCCTGAGAGTGCTAGACGGGGGCCACACAGGCTGGAGGTCCAGGAGCAGGGTGCTCGACCCACGTGTCGTTTTGCTTCAGGGGGGACTGGGGCCGGCTGTGAGCTGCAGGGGTCCTGCAGGGGTGGGTCAGGGACAGTTTCTGAGGTGGGGCTGGAGCAGCTGAGGGCGGGGCTGAGTGGGAGCAGACCCTGTGACATGAAAACCCACCTGCATGAGCCCCTGACCCTGGGAGGGGATGGTTTGGAGGCAGGTGGTCAGGCGTGGGGCTTCAGGGCCCTGCTCACCTCCACAGCTGTCCTGATCACTCACACAGTTGCCCCGGTCACCACCCCAGTCACGCCCACAGCTGCCTTGGTCACCCCACAGCTGCTCCGATCACCCCCATGGCTGGCTTGGTCGCCCCACGGCTGCCCCGGTCACCCCCACGGCTGCCTCGGTCACCCCACAGCTGCCCTGATCACCCCCACAGCTGCCCTGGTCACCTCCACAGCTGTTGTAGTGATGACCTTTCCCGGGACCCTCCCTCTGGGTGCCCATGCCCCACGGACCCTGGAGCACAAACCCTGGGAGGACACGGGTCACTGTAATCATCTGTGCATTTTTACAGATAGAGAAATGTGTAAACAAGACAGGCACTCCCCGTGGGTGACACAATGGTTGGGCCTCACGCTGCTCTCCATAGGAAGGGACCCGCAGGCCGTGTTTATATGCTACCTGGATGACTTTTTGAATTAGTGACAGGACTGTGCTCATCTGTCCCACTGTGCCGAGACTGCGCACACCCAAGGGTGTCCCCCTGTGGCCAGTGTAACCCAGGAACGGGAAAGCCTCTCGTAGTCCTGCAATGCATTTACCTCTTGTCTCAGCCCTGCTCTTTCTGTCTACAACCTCAGTGGCCTGTCTCTGCCCACGTGGGTGACCTGCCGGCCTTGTGTACGGAAGGGAGGCCCGCATTGTCCTGTCCCTGCATTGGCAGAACGGGAAGTTGGGGTCACAGGATGCCCAGGGACCTGGGCCTATGTAGGGGTGGTGTGTTGTGGGGGTGGCAGCTGAGTCACTGGGGAATTCGGAGAATGTGGCCACGCCCTGAGGAAGGACCTCCTGGGACGCGTGAGTAGGTCCTTGAGATGTTGACCAGGTGTGGCTCCACGGCTTTGGGGGCCACTCAGCCTGGCTGGGGACATTCCACTGGAGCCTCGGAGGGGGAGTCTTTGTCGAGGAGGTCAGAGGTGGGTTCTGGGGGTGGGGATCCCTGTCCTGTCCCGTGTGCTGATGTTCTCCTGGATGTGGCGTGGGTTTCATGGCACTGGTGTCAGGAGTGTGTGTGTTCTCATACTGCCCACACGGCGTCCTGGGCCACTAGGGCTCGGGGCTGGCGCTCTCCCTAACATCCTTTGCTTTTAAGCTGACTTCGGCGCTTACCTCAGACAGGACACGCTGCTCCAGTCACCAGTGGCCGCTGCCCCAGGCTTTGTGGTTTTAACACCTGTGGGGTGTTCACAGGTGTTTTTTTTTTTTTTTTTTTTTTTGAGACAGAGTTTTGCTCTTGTTACCCAGACTGGAGTGCAATGGCGCGATCTCGGCGGACCACAACCTCTGCCTCCTGGGTTCAGGCAATTCTTCTGTCTCAGCCTCCCGAGTAGCTGGGATTACAGGCACGTGCCACCATGCCCAGCTAATTTTTGTATTTTTAGTAGAGATGGGGTTTCACCTTGTTGACCAGGATGGTCTCGATCTCTTGACCTTGTGATCCACCCGCCTGGGCCTCCCAAAGTGCTGGGATTATAGGCGTGAGCCACCACACCCGGCCTCACAGGTGTTTTTGACCTCGGGCAGCACCGTCCAGGGTCGGTGAGAAGGGTCAGACTGGGAGGTGTGGATGGTGGACGCCGAGGGCAGGCCTGCAGCTGCACCATGGGCCCATCCTCACCACCAGCAGAAGACCTTCCGGCACATTCTTCATGTGTCTCTATGAATTTAATTGGTTTTATAGATTTTTTAAAAAATTATAAACCATACTTAAAACCACCACCTTCCTCTGTATAGTTCCAAACCCAAAATATATTCAGAAAGGAAACCCTGAGCCCGTCAGCGGCCACTCCCTGTGCCTCTCCAGCCCTGGCCCCTGGCTGCATCCACTTGGCCTCTGTCTCTGCGGCCCTGCAGATTCTGGACATTTGGTGTCAGTGAAATCCTGCATGTTTTTTTCTCCTCCCGACCTTCCTAAGGTTTGTCCATGCCGGGGTCTTCTTAGCGCTGCAGGTCTCTCTCTTCTATTCTGGTAAAATGTACATAACATCTATTTTTGCCATCTTAACTTTTTTTTGGGAGGGGGGATGGTGTCTTGCTCTGTTGCCCAGGCTGGAGTTCAGCTTGATCTTGGGTCTCATTCTTTTGCCCATGCTGGAGTGCAGTGGTGTGATCACGGCTCCTGTAGCCTCCGCCTCCTGTGCTCAAGCAATTCTCCTGTCTCGGCCTCCCAAGTAGCTGGGACTAAAGGCATGTGCCACCATGCCCGGCTAAGTTTTGTATTTTTTGTAGAGACAGGGTTTCATCATGTTGCCCAGGCTGGTCTTGAACTCCTGGGCTCAAGCAGTCTGCCCACCTCAGTCACCCAAAGTGTTGGGATTACAGGCGTGAGCCACCATGCCCAGCCAATAACTCTGTTTGAAGGACTGCCATGCCATTTCCCACAGCGGTTGCAGTGTCTTCCGCTCGCCGTGATAGTGCACCAGCGAGACCGTCTCCACATCTTCTCCAGCTCTTGTCATTTCTGTTTCTTGACGAGAGCCGCCCTAATGGGCATGGGGTGGCATGTCATGTCATTGTGGTTTGGGTCTCATTTCCCTGATGATCAGTGATGCTGAGCATTTTTTCATGTGCCTGTTAGCCATTTCTCTTTTTTTTCGTTTTTTTTGAGGCAGAGTCTTGCACTGTCACCTGGGCTGGAGTGCAGTGGTGCAATGTCAGCTCACTGCAACCTCTGCCTCCTGGGTTTATGTGATTCTTCTGCCTCAGCCTCTCCAGTAGCTGGGATTACAGGTGCACACCACTACATGCAGCTAATTTTTTGTATTTTTAATAGAGACAGGGTTTCACTATGTTGGCCAGATTGGTCTCAATCTCCTGACCTTGTAATCTGCCCCCTTCGACCTTCCAAAGTGCTGGGATTACAGGCATGAGGCACCACACCCAGCCTTTTTTTTTTTTTTGAGATGGAATCTCACTCTTATCACCCAGGCTGGAGTGCACTGTCACCCGGGCTGGAGTGCAGTGGCGAGATCTCAGCTCACTGCAACCTCTGCCTCTTGGGTTCAAGTGATTCTCCTGCCTCAGCCTCCCGAGGAGCTGGGATTATAGGTGCACACACCATGCCTGGCTAATTTTTATATTTTTAGTAGAGACGGGGTTTCACCATGTTGGCCAAGCTGGTCTCAAACTTCTGACCTTAAGTGATCCACCCACCTCAGCCTCCCAAAGTGCTGGAATTACAGGCGTGAGCCACTGCGCCTGGCTTAGGGCTTTCTTATATGTAAGGTCATATCATCTGTGCAAAGAGATAATTTTACATCTTCCTTCCTAATTTGCATGCCTTGTATTTCTTTCCTAATTATTCTTGCTAGAATTCCACTATTCTGTTGAATAAAAG